AACCAAGAATCCTCTATCCAGCAAAGCTGTCAATCAAATATGATGGTGTAATCCAAATATTGCAGGATAAACAGAAGCTAAGGGATTTTGCCAAAGCCCACCCTGCGATGTAAAACATCCTAAAGGGAGTTCTGTGGACTGAGAACCAACAAGAACAGACAACAACCAGAGATTGATGTACATGGCAGCATCACCGGAACTCAATCAACAAATGAAGATCTGAGCACAGAATAAAACCATAAGGACAAATTCAGAGGATCTGGGAGGTCAGTCTATGACCAAAACAATTGCAATGTGAAAGAAGGTACACACAAGAGATCCAAGTGGTGAGAAGATCAGGTAGGTTACAAGTTAAAATAGACTGTCTTAAATGGAGGGAAAAGTTAATGGAATATAAGGTAACCACAATGGTGGAGTCAGGGTGGGGGTGCTTAGGAGGCAGTGAAGGGAGGCAACAGTAGAGCACAGGGTAAGGGCAGACACATCATAGTTCGGGTGTTGGGGAGAGCAATACAAGAAGGGGGAAGAGGTGGAAGAACCAGGTATATAGGGGAACACTGAGACAGGTTTGCATGGGATAAGTGGGACAGAGGTAAACTGTGATGCATACTCAACCTTGGAACAGGGCTCTCTGATACAGGGATCTAGACATAGTTTGAAGAGGGTAAATAATACTAAGATGCTTGACTGTCTTATGAATATTGCTTTCCCTTGCCTACTATTGTAAAATAGACACTTGAGTTGGATAGAAAGTAATGTCAGGAAACATGGTTACAGAAAACTTGTAAGCCCATCTTCAGCCTATAACTGATTGGAATACTTAAAAGAGGTTCTAGAACTTGTCCAGTGAAATAGGCCTCTTGCGGAGGAGACTTTGCAGAGTATAGGACCTTAGGTGGAATCCTGAGTCCCATCCAGAACTTTTGAGGTGGGACATTTACCCTAGAAAGGACAAGCAGACCAACCTGAAATCACTAGAGCAACAGAAGACACATCTTCAAAGAAAGATCATCAGGAAAAACCCAAAACAAAAATGTCAGTATGACAGGCTACTACAAGAATAAGCAAGCTGTTCGCTGGAAAGCATCAAGATAAGCAATCAAGTTCCTTCAGGACAAACCCCCCACTAAGACAAACTCAAAGGGAACACATGAGCAGGCATGTAAGCCTTCTGGTAACCACATTGGTCTATTGGTGAATGGAAGATGGAGAAAGGCAGCAATAAAGAAATGGGCTGATTTCAACCATGGTCCATTGGCTCCCGTTGACCTGGAGATGAGAGAGAGAAGAGGAAGGGCTGGTTGGTCCAAAGTGTGGTTAGACCTAGGAACACCTGAGCCCATGCACAAGGACCTAATCACAGAGGGCTAGAGCTGAGAGTGAAGCATTTAGCTGATATGAAGTGAGTGGAGATACACAAGAACACCCAAACTTGCAGATAGTACCCATTTGATCCAGCCTGGATAGTTTGATAATCAGAACTCAACTAGAGGAAGATTAAAAAGAAAAAAAAATTTTTTGATAAAGAAAACAAGGGTAAATGCTACAATTTGATGAACCTAACCTATACTTATGGAGGTAGTAACTCTAAAAACCAACAGAGAGGGAAGGAGTCGTCACATCAAGTATCAATGCTATTCCCTCTTTACACAGAGTA